AATGCATTTGATAAAATCCAACAGATTTGTGTTATATTAAAAACAACAACAACAACAACAAAAAAACCCCAGCAAAGTATAAAAGGAGTTTTTCAAACTTTAACAAGGGTAGTATACAAAACCTACAGTGGTCATATTTAATGGTAAAACACTGGAATGATCTCTCTGAGAGAGTAGGAACAAAATGGCAGTGACTGCTTGTATTTTGTTGAACATTGTATTAGTCCTGGGCAAAGCAGTGAAGCAAAAAATAGATGGAAGTTTGGATGTGTGGATAGACAGGAAAGGAAGGATATAAATGTCATTTTTCACAGACTGTATAATTATATATCTATTAGAATACCCAAAATAATACACAGTTAATCAGTTGAGGTAACAGGAACCTAGTAAAGTTACTGGATATAAAATCATTATATAAAAATCAATTCCATTTCTGTAACCAACAATGAAAAATGAAATTTTAATAATAAAGTTTATCCATAAGGGGGAAGCAATAATAGCATAAAAAGACATAATGCCAGCAAAAGATATGTAACCATTCAAGAGAAAATGATAAAGTTATTGGAAGACAACTTAAAAGAAAACCTAAACAGATGGACAATTATGCCATTTCTGTGAACTGGAAAATTCAGTAATGTAAAGATATTAATTTTCCCCAAATGGTCTTTAGACTCAATGCTACTGTAATCAAAATCCCAATGGGATGTGTTAAATAAAGGTACTACTATACAGCAATGAATGTAAATTAACAGCAGTTAATGTATAGAAACACATATGACTTTTACAAAATTAATATTAAGGAAGTCACAAAAGAAAACGTATAGTGTGTAAAACTAAACTGTATTATTTAAGTATTCAGTCATAGGTAGTAAGACCATCAAAAGGATACCATTATCATTTAAGTCAGGTAGTGAATAGAATTACAGATAGGGGTAGTGGATGTCATCAGGGAGGGTCTTGCTTCCAGAGTGCAGGCAGTGATATATTTCTTGGCATTGGTGCTAATTACTTTGTTTACTTTGTAATTAGTCTTTATTTTATTTATTTGTATTGATTTCAGAGAGGAAGGGAGAGCGAGATAGAAGCATCAGTGATGAGAGAGAATCATTGATTGGCTGCCTCCTGCATGTGCCCTTAATCAGAATCAAACCCAGGACCCTTCGGTCTGCACACTTGAGCGTTGTCGGTTCACTCCCTGCCCGAGGTCAGGGCACATACAGTAGGCAAACAACCAATCAATCAGTGTGTCTCTTTCACATCAATGTTTCTCTCTGCCCCCTCCCCCCCCCACATACACACCCACCTTCCTCTCTCTCTGAAAAGCAATGGAAAAATATCTTCAGTGAGGATTAACAACAAGAAAATGTAACCCTACACATAGTGCATGCATTTTTTTGGAGGAAATCAACTTTATATTATTTTGATTTAGTGCCTTTTCCAGGAGCTTAACCTACTATTTGTAAGTTAACACCTCCCTAATGGGCCCTAAGGTAATAATCCTATCTAATAAAAGAGAAACATGGTAATTGGCGTACGACCGCTACCCTTCCCATTGGCTAATCAGTGAGATACGCAAATTAACTGCCAGCCAAGATGGCGGCCAGCAGCCAGGGAGCTTGAAACTAACATGAGGCTTCCTTGCTTCAGTGATGGAGGAAACCAACGTTCCCCGCCTGCCTTGCAGGCCTCTGAGGCTGCAGTTTGAAACATTTTAACAAATATAGAAGCTAAAAAAAAAACCCAGAAACCAGGTTTCAGCAAGCTGGGATCTCAGAGCTGGAGTTATAGATTGTTTAGATTATAGAACCGAAACAAACCAGATACCTACTTTCAGCAGCGGAGGCCTAAGAGCTGGAGCCTCAGAGCTAAAGCTGGCCCAGAATTAAAAAAAGAAAAAAGAAAAAAAAAAAGAGCAGTTGGGAGCTTCCGTCACCCGCCAGCCTGAAAACAGCCCTCAGCCCCTTACCCAGACTGACAAGGCACCCCAGTGGGGACCCCCACCCTGAAGGGTGTGTGACCAGCTGCAAACAGCCCTCAGCCCCTCAACCAGGCTGGCCAGGCACCCCAGTGGGGACCCCAACCCTGATCCAGGACACCCTTCAGGGCAAACCAGCCAGCCCTGCCCATGCACCAGGCCTCTATCCTATATAGTAGAAGAGTAACATGCCTCCCAGCACTGGGATCAGCGGAGCCGAGAGGCCTCCCGGCACCAGGATCAGCGTGACGGGGCAGTGCCCAAACCCCCTGATCGCCCTGCGGCTCTGTGTGTGACAGGGTGTGGCACCCCAAGCCCCTGATTGGCCCTGCTCTGTGGGTAATAGAGGGTGGCGCCACAACCCCCCCCCCACACACACACAGGCCCTGCTCTGTGTGTGACAGGGGAGAGCCATAACCTCCCCATCGGCTCTGCCCTGAGTGTGACAGTTTGCAGCGTCCCAACCCCCTGATCCGCCCTGCTCTCTGTGTGACGGGGCGGTGCCCCAACTCCCCTATCAGCTCTACTCTCTAGCTCTCAACCCCATCATGGGCCCTGCTCTGTGCGTGACAGGGGGGAGCTCCCCAACCCCCCAATGGGCCCTGCTCTGTGCGTGCAGGGGGGGGCTCCCCAACCCCCCGATCGACCCTGCTCTGTGCGTGACAGGGGGGGGCTCCGCAACCCCCCCATGGACCCTGCCTTGAGTGTGTTTCCAGAGTCA